ATCACTGGTCCCTTTCTGACCTGCCAGTCGCGACAGTTTTCGAGACTGGCTGGCATTCGCGAGGTCTGGAATCCTAGACGTTCTGTCGTCTTTGAGACAATTCGAGAATTTTGTAGATGCGGTTNATTAAGTACACAACTTCTTTAGAATTCGACTCCTCAGAAACCTACCGAATACGTTCAAATTTTGTATTTTGTTTTCTAAAATTAGATTTTTTAAAATCATGTAAAAATGTGTATTCGTGACAATTAAAATGTTTTTGACTATTATTATATTAAATGATTAAATAATAATAATTAAAAATTATTCTGTGCATGGAATTGTGTCTGGACAAATGAATTTAATAATTGTGTGGAAAAAAAATGCTATTCGCTTTAAACCATTTCTAAGAAATGGCGATATATGTGGCGTAACTACCACTCTAAATAATAAATACCAATTCACTAGTATATAGGACATGTTAAATTGATTCTATCACGAGGTACCTTTTGATAGATTGTGGTTGTCATAGTCGATTTAAAAAAACCCACATTGGTGACCCGGACGTGATAAAAACTTGCCAATATTAATGGATGATCCAAATTAAACAGTTGATTTGCTTAAAAAAAATATGCTGCTCAAGGAAAAAAATCTGGTGAAGCAAATAAAGTCTCCCGGTCAATAAACAAAAAAATGCAGAAAAAAATATAATGAGCAAAATTGATATAAATAAATAAACAGCATGAGTCAACTAGTGGTACACGTTCATCGAATTCTATCACAGATGAAATTCTGGAAGGGGAGTAATGTGGCGTAACTACCACTATAAATATTAAATACCAATTCACTAGTATATAAGACATGTTAACTTGATTCTATCAAGTGGTACCTTATGATAGATGAAGGTTGACATAGTCAAATAATTAATTCTCTTCAAACCTTTTCCATCCATTCATTTCAGTTTTGGAAAATTCTCTTTCTGTTGTTTTCACACTTTCTTTTCATTATTTCGTTTTATTATCATTTCATAACCTTTATGACCCTTCTTAACCTTTTCCATCCCTCCACCTCTGTTTTCAGTTTTCTTTTCAGTTGTTATAAAGCTTTTCTTTTATTATTTTTTGAGACGTATCTATATCTTTCCCTATTTCAACGTGTCTTAGACATTTCTTTTCCTTTCGGCTATAATAAATCTAAAACCTTTACTCTCAATCAAATTTTATTTTAATGATCGCATCTTTTCCTCTGATTTTCCTAGCACCATAAACTTTTCTAATAATTGTGTGTTCATATTTTTTTATACATAGATTGATATCTTTTTGATAAAACGTATGTGCCAGAACCGTGTGTAATTAATTTTCCATTTAAAGTATATGTCTTGTCCAATTAAAGTACATTTAAAAAATTTTATGATTTGAATTTAGTACTTAGTTTAACAAGCATTTCCTTATTTGCACAATCATGCATTTCGTGTATTTCGTGTGTACCATGTGTTTGGTTTATTTTGCATATTTCGTGTGCATTTGCCGTTTAAATTTTTGCATCGTGTATTAATTTCTCTTTCTGAGTAAGGGAAAGAGTTTGTATCTTTAAAGCTTTTATTATTAAAGGCTAAATCCTGTATCTGTCCTTTTTAAATATTCTGACAATGTCATATCCTCATTATTACTTAGGCCTCGTTTATTTAAGTTATCCATTAATACTTTTGCAGCTTCTCTTAAACTATTCTTTGTTTTTTTCTGTATCTACTATGCAATCTGCATATGCACAAATTTGTGTTAATTTTGTAATGACTGATCCTTTTTGATATATGATTGAAATGGAATTCAGAGATCAGTAGATCGGAGAAAGGCATGTTTATTAGAAAGTATGTCAGTTGAAGCGTATACTAGGACAGGATTAATATAAAAAGAGCATCTGAGTTATGGATTTCTCATAATTTCATTTATAAAGTCTGTAAGCGATAATAAATTTTGAACACCTTTGCTTAGAATAAGTACTTCTGCCTCTGTGGAGGAAAATGCTATACAATTTCGTTCATGACAGCACCCTAAAATAGGATTATTGCAATACATAATAAATAATAACATAACTAGTTATAGATTTTCTATCATGAGGATTTGAATCCCAATCTGTATTAACAAAGACAATTTTGAATTTTTGTAATGTTTCTTTTATACTCAATTTTAAAAGCCTGAGCTCTCTTCAAATATCCTTCTTTAAAGCACACCAAGGAGAGCAAAGGACACTAGGAAAGGACTAATAGAAAAGGAACATCTGAGTTAAGGATTACAAAAAAGGGATCTGCTGTCCCTTTAATATTTCTCAATACCCTTCTCAAAAATTTATTGAAATTTTTTAAAGTTTCGTGTGATAGTAAGTTCAACATTATTTAAATGGGCTATTCACATATGACTTTTAAAATTGTACTTATCACCTCTTTCAGGTACTCGAGAAATAATTTCTCTTCTCATTCACTTGGTGCAGTTTCGGTGATCTTGATTTTTGAGTAGTTATTTTTTTTAAAAATTGAATTATCGTGTTTCCACCCTGCTTTATTAGTCAAACTGCAGTATTATCAATTCCTTAATTTTCGTTTTTTATAAAGGAATTTGATTTATATTTGTCTTGAAATAAAATCCTTATTCATAGAGTCACGTTTTTCTTGCTCTATTTCTCTATTCAATTCGTATTGCTTTATAGTGTCCTATTTGTTCAGTGCATCTCTAATCGATTTTTTCGTAACAAGTTTCTCTTCATCATTTAAATTTTTATCTTTTGCTTTATAGTTGTTCATTTTTTGAGAATTTTTTTTTATTTTTAATTTCAAGGCACTATATTACTACTTTATTTCCCTTTTTACTTGCTTTGCTTATTTAAGCACTTTCCTTTTTATCTGACAGCAATTTTTTTAAAAATCTAAACATGTCTTTATATTTATCATATATACTTCTCTAGTTTCACTTCTATCCTAATAACCCCCATACATTCTCCATCGAATCATTCCTTTGATTATTTTTAATTTTTCCCCATTTAGTTTTTTGCAGTTTTGATAATGAGTGTCTCAACCTGCGAGAAAGCGTGTTTGGTGTATTGCATACCAGCCCTACTTGATTTCGAACTTCTGAGTGTTTCAGAAAAGGATTTATCTGTATAGTTTTCCAAAATTGGAATAGTAAACAATCTACACCTTTGCTGATACATTTTTTTTCGATGCTGTTACATATGCCATTTTTTATGATGTCTTATGATCTTCTTTGAACAGCTGATTCAATTTTGGGATTACGACTACTAGTAACTAGCTTAACACCGCCCCCGAAAGGGGACATCCTGGGACACACCGATAACTCGAAGTGCGCGTAAAAGTTCAATCAAATAAGTAAACATGTTCAAAAACTTTCAAATCATAGTTTTAGCAAATAGGGAGAATACTAAATATGAAATCCAGAAAACAGCGTTACTTAGAAATGAACTAAATACAAACAAACATCACAATGAATGTAAACAATATCTATCAGAAGAGATATTGATGTCGTATCTTCAGTAGGGGGAAATAGTTAATAACAAGAAACGATTACACATGGTTAAATGTAAGATGTTTGTTACTCAGAATACAATTACAGCTGACAGAACAGTACTTAAGGTATCAAGCTGTAGAAAAATATTTTTTTCTTTTTTAACACAGTAAATGTATAATCAAAAAGAGCGTAAAAATGTACAAGCATGACAGTGAGTATGAACATTGAAAGTCAGGTGAATAATTTATGACGCATGGTGCAAAAGGCCAGCAGTTTCTCCTGAAGACAAAAAAGACAGACTCTAGCAACACTAGTGATTAAAAGTAAGAAATGAGAAATCACATAGGGGCAGAGATTGACAAAAAGCATGCAATTAAAATGCAATAGAACAACAACAAAAAAACAGTTTAAGAGAAAATTCAAGTAAAAATCAAACCGTAACAGGTAAATCAATAAGAGATTTACAGTATGTCTTTCCTAACAATAGGCAGTAAGAGGCCATCAGGATTCAGGGAGGTGCCTTGTTACTAAACAATTTTCTCACTATTTCCTCAATTCCATTTTTTCTTTTAAGATTTGTCGAATGCTGCCTTATAAACTTATAGATGGTTTTCGACTGAAAAAATTTCTCTGTTTTGTGTTTAATATTAGAACAATGGATTAATATATGTTCCAATCCTCAATAAGCTGACAGGTATGGCACATCTGAGCTCCCTTGAAAAACCTGACCTGATGTTGTCCATTACAGCCATGATTAGTTAGGAATTAATTTTAAAAAAAATTCCCCATTCCTCGTTAGAACTTCCGAGAGGAGCTTGAATGCGTGCATTCCCTTTGTAAAACTGTCACTCCATCTCTCCTGCCATCTAACCAATTTTTCGTGTTCCAAAGTTCTTTTTGCAGTCTGCCTGCTGGGATCTTCAAACAGGTCGACCGTCGATCTCTCACAGGCTAATTTAGATAACCAATCTGCCTCCTCGTTGCCCATATGGCCTGCATGTGCTTTTATCCAATGAAAAACGATATTGTTTGTGAATTCTTGTTTAATTAAGTGAACTAAGTATTCATTAGAGTTGCTGTTTTCCAAAGCTTTCAGACTAGACTAATCGGTATAAATTGAGATTTTATCTGTAATTCTTTGTTCTTTAATCCAGCGAATCGAATTTTGGTCCAAAGGACGCTATCAAAGGCACCTTTGATATCAAGGGAAATACCCAGTGTGTGATGTTCATTATCCTTAATTTTCTTAGTTTTCTAAAGTACGGACTTCATAGCTGTGACAGCTGATCTACCTCTCCGAAGACCGTGTTGATCAGTATTAAGAATGTTATTGGAATCAAGGTGAAAGTCTAATATATTTGTTATTAATTTATCCACCACCTTCCCCCAAACCGGAAGAAGAGAAATGGGACGATAGCTGTCAGGTTAGTGTAAATCCTTTCCAAGTTTAGGGAAGAGAACTAATTTAGCTTTTCTCCATAATATAGTGAAATAATTGAGACAATGACATTTGTTAAGGATATTAATGAACCATTTTGGTTCCAAGTAGAATATGGATTTAATGACTTCGAGGGGAATGTTAGGAACTTGCAGCTTTATTGTTCTTTATACTATTAACAACAACTTTAATTTCATTCCTAGTAAATGGTTAATCTTTGTCATAACTTGCAGGTTAAGGTAAGGGGGAAGGGTGTTGGTCCAATGGGAAATGATATTCCAGGATAGCTTCAATTGTGGTATTTTTAGTGGTGGTGATAGTTGCATCTAATTTATGTATCTGTTTAAAGTCATGATAGCTATTAAACTTGTCCCTGACTATCAAATAGCCAGGACTAAAGCATTCTTGGGTTGTAATATTTTTAAGATAATTCTTTATTCTTTCCTTTTTTGTTTTTCTTCGAAGCAAAAGAGGATGTTTTTTCCAAAGCTATTGACATAATTGAGATCCTATGGTCACTCATTGTCAGAGACCTGCCAATCTGTTACACCGACGTCACCACGGGTAAGTGTGACGCTAATCCAGCTTTGGACCGTGATTGAGTTAAAGGTTGGATTAGAGTTAGAGTCATTTTCCATATCCATATCCATTAAGATAACAAACTCCACCAATTTTCGACCTCTGTCATCCTCAACAGGGCCACACAAGTAACTTTCAGCATTGAAATCCCAATTGATAACAACTTTTAGGGTCGGAAGTTGCATAAGATGCATTTGGAGTTCATCCAGTGATGGTGCAATCACCGCCGAAGGGATAACATAGATGCTCCTGAAGTAAAAGTTGAAATCCCGCATTCTAATTTCACTGATTATTTAAGTCTCTTTTAGTAGTAATAGGTAAAAAGTCAACTAGTTTATGATTTATGAGAATTGCCGCTCTTGGCCTGTGATCACTAGCAATTATATCTACTCCTGACTGAAATTCTGTAATTTTATTATCTGTGTTAAAATAGGGCTCGTTTAATGAACTTACAGCTCGAACTCTGTTTTGAGATAAAATCTGCGGAGTGTTGAGCATTAGCAATATGGGAATGGTTAAGATTAATATGAGCTATTTTAAGTTTGTGAATATCTCTATCCATAATTTTTTCTTTTGATAATCTGTTTTCTCTCCCGATGTAGGTTTCACAGTATATATAGAGTGAGCTATGGTTTGTAGAAAGGTTTAAGTCGTATCTCTTATTCGATTGTTTAAAATTAATGCACCTACTTTTGGCAGTACAATCATCAAACTTGCGGCCTTTACTGCCACAGTTTGCGCATACCTCGTCTGCTTTGCAGAGTTTTGCTATATGGCCAAAAGAGCAATACTTAAAACATTACATGACTCGAACATATTCCTTTGTTCTAATTCTGTACCAACCCAAGTTTTTTTTTATAATCGCACAACTGCCCTAAATGTATCTAGATCAGCTTCGATAACCCGGTGATTGCCATTCTTTTCCCTTAATGGAAATCTAACATCAATGATTCCGTGCTCAAGGGCCGGGTTTTGTTCTTTAATTTTTTCGACCAATTCTGCCCTAGTAAATTCCTCTTGTACGTCATGTAGAATAATTCTCGGATTCAATTTCTTTGGCTTACCACAAATAAGCTCCTTTCCCAGGTCTCCTTTATAAATTTCGCTCACTTTTTCTATTTCTTCCTCCTCAATAATGCCACCATTTCTAATCTTATTGACCCTCCTGACTCTGATCTAAAGTTTAATTGGACCAATCTTATTGATGATCTCCTGTCTAGGGGCATAGGATGAACTATACGGATTCCTTAATTGGATTAGAAGGACGTGCTCTTGTTTGCGTCCCGAAAAGGTGGATTTCAAAGTTGGTCCCACAGTAATGGCTTGAGTGGAAGTACCCGATGCAGTCACCGCATCAAAAGTTGGCTATAACTGTTTAACGATCTCAAATCTCTCATGTATCTTTACCACTACTAATGTTAAACTCCGTAGCCTTGCAATTTTGAAACCATTCCAGAAGACAAGGAAAAACCTGGATCAAGTATAGAGAGAAGTTTGGCTTCGTGGAAGACTTTTCAATGAAACTAACACGCATTTGCGTTACATGGAAAGGAAAAACACGAAAACCACTCATAGTTAGCCTGACGCCAAGTCGACTCTAACCCATGATCTGTCCTCCATTGAGGATACTTAACGTTGGAACTGTGGCTGGTGCGAGCCGGTAGCGGAATTCGTTTCGACTAGCCATCGCTGATACACATAAACGTTCACCTCATTGGAAGGCGAGTGCTCTATCCCCTGAGCCACCACAGCTCTACATATGCCACTTACAAATAACAGCAAGCCTGCTAAAAATTCGGCAAAGTTTAAAGGCTGAGTGTACACTTTTTGAATTTCAGTGGCGACATCTATGGACAAGAATATGATTTTGTCACACACATACGTAACAACTCATTTTGCAGGGAGGACTCATTCACACACCTTTTATCCATATGCAGATAATAATTTTGATCTGAGACATAGAACGATCAATCTCCTATTCAGCCCGAAGTACTGATTTGTTATGGGAACTTGGGGGACTTTGTGACCCAGACAGATTTAATGTGCACCAGTCACCTCTTACTACACGGGAATTTTTCAGCCTCTTGGATTAGAACTTTTTCTGATAGAATGTGTAAATGAAAATTTTAATTCTTGTGTGTAACAGTGTAAATATTTCTGCTGGCAGGGTATATTAGGTATCAAATAATTCAACTGCCAGCATTTCTTATAGGTTCCAATGATAATGTGTCTTTGCTCTGAACATTTTTGCAATAGATATTTAATTCTTTCTGCTTTCAACTGTTATTCCTCCGCCCAAATCTAGAAGCAGACATATGTTATTTTTTTTTACAGAATCTAGCAATAAAGCTTATAAGAAGACGCATTGAACAACGATCGGCTGATAAGAATTACTATACGGTAAAGGAGAGAAGATGCTTCAAGCGAAAGCATGTCATTCGAAATTAATGCATGACAATCGAATGAAACGAATGCATGACATTGGAGGGCAAATTTGAGGATCCAAGCACAGTAAATCTCGAAGGAAATACCTCGTGTAAAAATAAAATCTCTGCTATTACCGCATGAATATACCTCGTTATTAGTGTGCTCTGACAAAATAAGTTTTGTACTATTAGGAAAGTAGTTTTTTTATTCTTTTTTACTCAAGTGATATTCAAATTATAAATGAAAAACAGATTGAAAACCAAATAACACTATTTGCATAGCTTTTGAACTATTGAGGCATGAAATATGATCCTACGGGAGTGTTTATGTAACGTTTTAGTTTACATGTTCATGCGGATTTGTTTCACTTCGTATTCATTCCTATTTCCTCTGTTTTCTTTTTTCCGTTCATGTATTTTTTTTGTATTTCAGTCTAATATTCATTTCTTTATTAAAACGCAATCATTTCTTTGTCATTGTTTCAATATTCTTTTTGTTTTCATCGTTTTTTGCACACTACTTAAACGCTTTAATGTTCGAAATCATTATTAAGTTGTATTTATGATTTAATGTCAATAACACATATCGCATTAAAAATATTCGTTACATAAAAATACGCGTTTTTTGCATTTTTTTGGCTGCTGAATAATGAATAAGAAATTATTTTTATTTGGAAGGTATCATTTTCCTAAAAATCCACATTTTATCTTGGCGGTTTTAATACAAAATTAAGACTTACAGGCAAAGCAAAGTCGCTCTCTCTGGAACATGGACGGTTGCCAACTTGTTGATCATCTTAGAGATCTTAGTGAGTTTCTTGAAAAAAAAAGCATTATCTACCGTCGGAAGTTTCAAGGTTCTAGATGCAATAAGATATGAGTTATCAAAGAATTCACTAAAAGCTTGGTGACATTTCTCCCACTAGCACGGTATAAGGTTTATTTTTTAAAACATTTGCAAGAAATGAAATAGTTATTAATATATGATTTCGCACACTGGAACAGATATCAACATCTTATTATAATATAATTCTTTAGTGAATAAGAAACTGTTACAAATGATACTTTAAAGTAATTGTATTATCTATTCAATTTACTTAGCTGTTTTACTAAATAAAGTTAATTTTAGACATAATGAATCAAAAGACAGTACTAAAATTAATAATCATTCAGTAATAGACATTTTTTGTATAATTTTTAATAATATTCTAGTTTGATTCAATAGTTCATTAAAACAAATGCTCAAACTTATTAATATATAAGAATTTAATTTTGTTAAAGTTGGAATTTAAGTAACTGCAGTGATATTCACTTGATAAATATTTTTATTTTTTAATCATAAATATTTTGTCCTAGCAATTTTCAACAGTTAAAAGCGTTTCTATCATTTTTATACTTATAGGATGTTACTTTTAATTTTTTCCATTTCTTTTAATTTTTACTAACTCTGAATTTTCGAATATGTAATTTCAACTTCACAGCCCTGAGATAAATTTAGATTAGATAGATTGAAATGCACTTGAAATGCCTTATCCTTCATTATTACTTAAAACCAGGTTCAGTTCGCTTTATTTTAGTTTTAAAAATTAATAAATAATTTTTTCACTAACGATTCATTTATCACCTAATATCCAGCTATAGCTGGTCGATACGAATTAAATTCCGCAACCGGCTCGCACTGTCCATACTGCTGACGTAAAATATCCTCAGTGGTAGACAGATCATGGGTTAGAATACCCTTGTCGTTCGACTAACCATGGGAGGATTTCGCGGCTTTTCTCTCCATTTAACGCAAATACTGCTTAATTCCATCAAAAAAGTCCTCCACAAAAGCAAATTTCTCTCACTGCTTGATCCAGGAGTTTTCTTGTCTTCTGGGTTGGGTACAAAATTACAGGGCTATGGAGTTGAACACTGGCAGTCGTAAACCCAAAATATTGGGTCGGCTGATGTACAACGGCTATAAAATAAAATCACCTTATATGTAGACTAACATTTTTTAATTTAATATTTCGCATCATTTGTTTTCAGGGCTACATAGAAGAAGGATTTGGAATTGTTGACTTACCGCTTTTGGTAAGCAATATTGATAAATTTTTGATGCTTTTCAAGATATTTCAAAGAATTACTTGTATTAAAATAATTTCAAAAAATTTTAATTAATTTTTTTTTATAGTTTTGCAAGATACAGTAGGAAATAAAATATTGAGTGTATGTCTCAGTTAATTTTCCAGATATTATGTTTATTTTATGTAAATTTTATTCTAATTTTTGTTGAAGAATTTTTTATAAAAATAAGGAAACATGATGAAAAGTCGTAGGTTTATTTGGTGTCATTATTGTCACTGAATGAACCCCACCTTTTTATCCATTTTCTTTAGATTTGGTATTACATTACTTACATGTTCCATTTTCAATTAATGTTGTTGATCAATTAAAACTATTTATAATCTATATTATTAGATTCATAACTATGAGAGATGATTGTGATATGATTAATACTATTTCAGTAAATCAAAATATCAATGTTTTTTTTATTGTTACAATTTTTTGCCATAAAATGCAAAAAAATCAAGAAAAAGAACATATTTGTATATTTGATAAAAACAATAACCGTTATTCCCAAAACATTCCGTAAACTTTATTTAAAAAACTATGTCATGGTTATTATGTTTAAAATGGGATTTTAAGAAAATCAACCAGGTCAAAAATTAACAAAAATCCAATAGCAGCAGACGGCCTTAGTCTTGGTGGTGAGGGAACTTCTTTCTATAGACATACTGTACTGATCTTCAGGACAAAAGTCTTTTATTTGCTTGGAAGAGGAGTGAGACTTGGTACAATGCTTTATTAAAAGCCGTTTTTAATTTCAATATTTTTTTTAAGTATATCAATTATTAAAAAAACAGAGAGTGGCACTTAACGGAAAGAAATTTTTTGTTTAAAAATACAAACTAAAATATATTTCCTCTCTATATTATAATATTTTTATTTGTTCTTATTGTTTTCTTTACGCTATAGCATTTTGTTGTGCTGCCTGCCCAAAAATTCAATTTGACTTAAAAACTTAAAATTTATGTACTGTAAAAATATTAATGACATATTTCCTTTTAATTAAAAACTAATTTATAACGTTCCTTTAATCCATTTTCCAATAAATAAAAATCCTAATTATAATCTGTAATCTCTTTATTTTTCTACCTTGAATTGAGTGTTGAAATAAAACTATTTTTAGAGATTCCCCTACATCTGCCTAACACATTACCATATAATTCGAAAACCGTTGCATGAATGCTAAATAATTTGATTTTGCTAGGATTTGTTATTATTTCTCGCACTTTTTTTTCAATCAACATATTTAGATACATAAGGCTATATATATATATATATATATATATATATATATAAAAAAAAAAAAAACACTCTACACAAATTTTTTCATAAAAAGTAAACTAAAAAATATTATTAATTAATAAACAACTTGAAAGCTATTATCTATAATTTTAACTGAAAAGAAACCCTTTCTTTNATATATATATATATATATATATATATATAAATGAAAAAAATTTTTATTTAGATGGACATCCATATTTTCAACAAAAAAAATTCTTTATTTCATTAAAGCATATTCTGAACTTTATTGTAATTGCTTGCCTATGTAACTTTGGAGTAGAATAACGGACAATTGAAAATAAATCATCAACATCTTCAACAAAAATTCCTTGATAATTACTGAGGTGTATAGAAAAACGTACAAAGGAATAAAAAAATGCAACATTCAATAATTAGTCCGAAAATTATTAATTGTTAAACTTGCAATAAAAAATACCACGTGAGCCGTACTGTTGCGCATTGAAATGCTACTACGGAGTTAAATTTGACTTCCTGATAAAGAAGAACTTGTTTTTTTAATTTAAAGCGAGTTGTTTTTGAACTTTAAATTTGTTTTAAAGTTGTAGCAGTCTTAAGAGTTTCTTATCGTTAATTTTTTCTAAGCTATTTGGTTTTAAATGTTGACTATTTATCTACTGCTGCAGAAGAGTATATTTTTCTCTCTTGAAATCTTTATTTTAAGCTTACGCTTGAGTTGATGTCAAAAGCAAAACAACCAAAAAAATTGCAAACGAAAAACAACAAAAAAAGAAGGTAGAGAGATTATGAGGAGTTGCCAGATATAAATATTAATAATTATTGAATTTAAAAAAAAATTAATACAAGAAAGATAAAAAGCGTTCGCTATTTAGAATGCTGTATGTCTCATTAACAAATAAAATTTCTTCTTCATTTCTTTGGAGTCCACACAATCTATATTCCATAAGTTTTTTTTTTTTTACGTACACATAATTATTTTTCAAATTCAGGTAATAGCTCATTTTGTTGCGATTAACATACAGACAAAATGTTCTTATATGAAGGTGCAATAATCGTACATTTTGTTAACATTGAACACGATTGTAAAGTGGTGAATGAAAAACAGTTACGATTGTTGGTGAGCTAAGTGAGTAGGAGGATCTTGTTGTGACATCAAAGGAATGAAGAGTGAAGAAATCTTTAAAATTTAACATTTTCAGAAATCGGTATAGCAGAATTTTTCTTTTAGAAAAAAATCTGTGATGTTATTTTTTAAATAGTGGTACCAAGCTTTAGACTCGGTTTTCGATTCCCAAAGATAAACTAATTCACTGTATTCTTCATAATCATCTTATGTTTTTCGGCGGATGACAGGATTTCAAAAAGCTTCTATATCTACTAAGCATGCAAATTTATTGATATAAATGCTAACTGAAATTGTATGGAATATAAAACAAAGATTTTTCGAATTTCTTTTCTCTGAAAATCTTAATTATTCCCGGGCATAATATGCTTTTTTTTTTGTTCTTGGTTACTCTAGGTTTCAGTGAACATACCTCGAAATTTCAGATTAGCAACACCCACTTTTTTTGAGCTTTGTAGGAAATATATTAAATATTCAAATTTTTTAAGCAGGAAATGTTGTTTTTACTAATGCCACTTATCAATAACGGCAAACCTACTTAAAATCAAGCAAATTTTTAAGGCAAGGGTGCGTTTCTCATTTTCTCAGTGGCGCCATCTGTGGACAAGAATATGACTTCTGCCACGCAGTCGCAGTCCGTTTTACATGTAGAATCCATTCATAATCTTCATTCATCCACAGATCGTAGTTTTGACCTGAACTATGGAACGATCAATCTCCAGTTCCGTACCCCCAAGATGTATTGATTTGTTACGCAAACTTGGAGGAAATTGTGACCCCAACAGCTTTAACATGCAACAGTTCAGTCATCATTTAATGCATGGGGATTCTTCGGTTCCCGGGATTTGAACTCACGATCTGACGAACACGAGCCCAACGTCCTACCAACCAAGCTATCCCGGCCCTACAAAAGGAAATACAGTGATGAACAAATTGTATTTTATATATTTTCGACATATCATAAGTTCAACTCTAATCAACGTTTCAATAAATGGTATAATTCATCAAGAATCTAATAAACTGAAAAAGTTAACTTGATTTGCATGCTGGTCCTTGCCTTTTTTTCGCAGTTCTTTTGTCATCGCTCCCCGCCATTTCTAACATATCGCTTTAGATCATAACATCTTCGAGCTCATACTTTTAAATAACATTATTATGTAACAAAATTATTTGTAAAACTCTTTTATGTCAAAAAATGTTTTGTGAAACATCTAACATAATAAATGTTTTAATTCTCCTTTACCAAGTTAAAATTTTTTAATTGAACATATTCAGATATTTAAACTGATAAAAAAAATTATTTTTGTTCAAGGAATTTTATAAAGATAAATTAAAATTTTATAATAAAAGAAATAAAATCGAATCTTTTTACAGACAGGTAGAGGCTTCTGTAAAGTTCTTTTAGCTGATGAGAATGCTCGCATTGACATAGTGCCGGTTGACATTGTGGCTAATATGCATATTGTAGCTGCCTGGAGTGTTGGTACAAAGAGGTATTGGATTTATTTACTAACAAAAACTTAAATTTCTTTAAATATTTATGAACAACTAGTCGTATTAATTCAAATTATAACCAACAATGTGTTTCGATAAAATTAAGGAAATCAAAATTAACGGTAATTGAAATAACATATATAAATTGAAGGGCAAAATTAATGGAAAAACATTACTAATTCATTCAGGTGAAAAGTAAATAACTGCAAATAGTTAGTCACGCCAATAAGGCTTTATTAATTTCGGAAATACTTGAAATAAAAAAATAGTGCGTGGAGTCTCTCAGCGCGGAAGAAGTTAAACTTCGTAACCTGCGACGTTAATTGCAGAAGAATCAGCAGTCGTAGAAGGATGACTGGTTCTATTCAATGACTCTTTTTTCTGCTCCGCTCACTTCCGTGCTCTGTAATAACGGTAATATTGTGCATTTTTCCCTCTTGAACCAGTGGGAGTGCTTGTGGTTGCCTCATCGTCTCGCCATGGAAAATGTATTTGCATTAATAATGTATGTGAATGCGTCATAATGTAATTTCAGAAGAGAAAACCTTTCAATCAATTGATATTCACAAGAGACGTACCTTGACATAACCTTAAATCCGTCGTAATGTCCGTGGGATTGTTTTCACTCATTTTTTACAGTTGTTATCCACTAAATTTGAAAATAAAATATACTATCCTATTAAATTATATGTGTATCAAATCAAACTAAAAAATTGTTTATTCGCGATCGCAACGAACTATAGGGGGCGTTGTTGTATGAGACGCATACCTGCGATTTCTATATGAACCGTCAAATCAGCTTTCCTCTCCTTAATTTTTTTACTTAATTATTAAATTTGTTTCAGTTTTAAATGTAAATTAAACCTTAATTACATGTTCTATGAAACTTAGGAAAGAATATGTAGGTGAGTTTTTAAATCTGGACGTAATTCGTGAAAGAATATAAAATACCAGGACCGGAGGTTGTTGATGGAATCAGCAAATCGAGATTGTTGCAAGCAGTCTGACTGATGCATTGCCTTGTTTTGTTCGTTTGATTTTGGCAACTTTTTATTTTTAATTTTATAGAAAATATATCAGTAGAAGTATTCTTTTTCTTTTTCGTCAAAGTTTCTCTTACGTTATAATCTTCATTAAAATATTTCTTTTTCTCAAAATGATCTGTTTATTTACAATTGTAATTTAATTTCAACAAGTTAACAGCACGACGCTCTGTGTAAATAAATATTAGAAATTCGGATCTAAGAAGATAGGCAGCACAATAATCGCCGCTATGGAAGAATACAAATTGAAGAAGTTGAACGGCGAAAATTATCGTGCCCGTGCACTGATGGTGCAGAAGAAATGCTGGGAGGCAGTTGAGCCTGGCTATTGACTTGCTGAAATGTCCGAAAATGAGAGAAAGAAAAATGATGAAGCATTAACTCTAATGTTCTTGATTGTAGAAGATACGTTTTTGGATGATATTGGCGACTGCGCCAAAGCGAGGGACGCATGGATTGTATTGAAAGATATGCATAATAAATTTGGCTTACTGCATGTTTTGCAATTAATGAAGGACTTTTTTAACATTAACTTGAAGCCTGGGGAAACAATTCTATCATATTTGACCAGATAGATTGAAATACACCGAAAACTGTCGAGTGGTGGTTACGCTTTCACCGACAGAGAAGTTGCCCTCGTCATGTTAATAGGTCTGCCAAAATCATACGAAAGCTTAATCCTGAATTTAGAAAAGGATGAAGATAACTTGACAACAACCATTGTGAAGTCTAGACTATTAGTTGAAGAAAAAAGAATATATAGAAATGTGCCAAATGTTGAAGAGCAAGAAGAACGTGCACTTCACACAAGAAACTATAATAAAAAAAGACCAATGCAGACAAACACTGTGAAGAAATGGACAACAAAAAGAAACAGCGAAACAGCTGCAAATTCGAAGAAAACTGTCAGGTGTTTTAGCTGTAAAGAATGGGATCACATCTCCAAAAATTGTGAAGAAGCACAACAAAGAAATCAAAGCAATGCCAAGACTGCTATAGATTTAAAAATGAGCTGGGCCTTATTAACAAACAAATTTAAAGCTGAAGACTCAACAATCTGGATTCTAGACAGTGGTGCTACAGAGCACATGACGTCAGACCGAAAGAAATTCAAATCGCTAACTGATTACACCTAAGTAGTAGAAGTGGCGAATTCTGAAAAAATTCAAGTTACCGGAACAGGAAACATCACTATTTCAGTTCAAAAAGATTCTACCAACAGCAACATTAGTCTTGCAAATGTATTGTATGTACCAGACTTGGACGGACATTTACTGTCGATTGGCAGGATTGCAGAAAAAGGTTTTAAGATTGAATTTGCCCATGGTAAAGCAAAGATATTGGCAGAAACTGGTGAAATTGTTTTGAGAGCTATAAGACAGGGAAGACTATATATTATAGAAGAAGATTGTCCTGCAGCGTACATTTCAACGATCCAGACGAATGGATTCTGGCATCGCAGGCTAGGACACCCTTCCCCAGGCACTTTGAGAAACATAATAACCACCAAAAGTAAACAGGAATCCAATCTTGAAACAAACAAGCCATGCTCTGTGTGCATTCAAGGAAAGATGAAGCGCAAGAAGTTTCCAAAAATCTCAAACTCACGAGCTAATGAAACGTTAGAAATTGTGCACTCTGATGTAGTAGGAAAGATTTCACCGCCGTCAATGGGAGGCTCAAATTACTTTGTTGTGTTCACCGATGATTTTTCTCGTTACTCTACAGTGTATCCAAACAAAACTAAAGATGAAGTCATAATGAAGTTTGATGAATGGCTGAAAATTTTCACAGCAAAAAGATAAAAATTTTAAGAAGTGATAATGGAGGTGAGTTTAAGTCACAAAACTTTGACAATTATCTTATTAAACATGGAATTCAAAGGCAGCTAACTGTGCCGGAATCCCCTCAACAAAATGGAATTTCAGAAAGGATGAACCAGACTTTGATCAACATTACCAGATGCCTTCTCATAGAATCAGGAGCATAGCCAGAATTCTGGGCTGAAGCTGTGTGCACAGCATCTTATCTCCAAAATAGACGCCCATCTACTGCAATTGGAAGACGTACGCCAGAAAAGTTATGGTCAGGTAAAGAAACGAACTTGGATCACTTGAAAGTTTTTGGATGTCGGGCCTGGAGAAATACACGCTCATTTCAAAGGCGGAACAAATTTGACCCAAAGGCTATAGAATGTATCCATATTGGGTACCCAAGTGGTATCAAAGGATATAAACTCTGGGATCCAAAAAGAAAAAAGTTTTTTATCAGCAGAGATGTGCTCTTTGAAGAAGATGTGTTCCCTTTCAAATTGACCAAAGAAGAACCCTATGAAGATAAGATTTCCTTATTTATTGAAAATGAAGACACACACAATATGAACTCAAGTGATGAAAAATCAATTAAACATCCAAATTTTGAACTACATGAAATATCGCCAGAAGAAATAGATCAGCATCCAGACACAAACGCCATCATCCAAGATGAATCCCAAAATAATGTTTGTGGAGATCAGACTTACCAACAAGTTGAAATGACAGAGGAGTCCAACCAACTAGAACATGATCAAGAAGATCCAAATAATCAAGTCTGTCGAAGTGATTCTGCCAGAAGAGGCACAAGAGCTATTAAAACCCCTGCACACTTGCAAGATTATGTACTTTACAAGGCAAAAGAAGCATGTTCTGCAAATGCAAAGCAATTCCATTGGGACCCTGTAACATTGGAAGAGGCTCTAACATCACAAGAAGCAAATTTGTGGCAAAAGGCCATAGATGAAGAAATTAAAAACTTTCGTTGTGCACAAACGTGGGAGCTTGTTAGCAAACCACCAAATGTCAAGCTTATCAGTTCTAGATGGATATTTCGGAAAAAGAAAGCTGAGACAGGAGATTGTGATAAATTTAAAGCTGGACTGGTAGCTAAAGGTAACATATCAAGTTCCTGGAATTGACTTTCAAGAAACACTCTCTCCCGTAAAAAAATTAAAATCTATCAGGATCTTATTGGCACTAACTGTGGAATGTGAAATGGATATTCATCAAATGGTAATAACTGCTGCTTACCTGAATGGTACTTTAAAAGAAGACATTTACATGCAACAGCCTGAAGGAGCCATAGTGCCAGGCAAAGAACATCTTGTCTGCCACCTTAAAAGAAGCCTATATGGATTGAAACAATCTGGAAGAGAGTGGAATACGTGTTTCGACACCTTTTTGAGAGATTATGGATTAACACGTTCTAAAAGTGATCCATGCATTTACTATCATCCAAATAAAACACTTTACCTTGGCATATATGTTGATGATATGCTTATTGTTGGAAATTCAGAAGCCATAGACATGTTTAAACTTAAGGTTAAACAAAAGTTTAGAGCAAGGAATCTTGGAGAAGTAGGTGAAATTTTATCGATGAAAGTGAAAAGGTATGCTGATGGATACTTAACCTTAGACCAAACATCCTATGTAGAAGAAGTATTGAAGACCTTTGATGCAATCTTACTCATAGGAGCATCAACTCCCTTAGACCCTGTGTTAAACACTATAAGTTAACCGATGCTGAGTGGAAGGAAACTAAAGAAACATCGAACAAAATTCCATACAGGCAGGCGATAGGCAGTTTACTGTATCTTGCCTGTGGTACTCGCCCTGACATTGCTTATAGTTCAACTTATATGAGCCAGTTTAACGAAAGACCTTCTGAAAACCATTGGCGAAGTGTCAAACACTTATTCAGGTATCTTAAACAAACAAAACATCTTTGTTTGACATATAGAAAAACTCGAAAGAAGCTAGAAGTATTTTCCGATGCAGACTGGGCAGCAGATTGCATTGACAGAAAATCATTTAGTGGTTATGTGGTCATTCTTGGGGGTGCTGCGGTGTCTTGGTCCAGTAAAAAACAACATTGCACTGCATTGTCTTCCGCAGAAGCTGAATACCTGGCGATGGCCCATGCCACCAAAGAAGTATTGTGGATAAAGAGTTTACTGTTTGAGCTCGGTAAAGAAATGTTTGTACCACCTCCAGTACTAATAAATGTTGATAACCAGGCAGCTATGTTCATAGCTAAAAATCAAACTACGTCTGATCGGAGTAAACACATAGATCTTAGGTATCATTTCATACGGGACAATGTAGATCAAAGAATTGT